ATAGAAGGGCTGCAAAACTTAATCAACAAAATAACGGAAACAAGTAGAACATATGGACTGGATATAAACACTAGCAAAACCAAGCTAATGATCATCAGCAAGGAAAACATAACTGGAGCAAATCTGTATGTGAATCAAATGAGAATTGAATGTGTCTCACAGTACAACTACTTGGGAACTATAATCAACGAGTCGTGAGACAATACCCAAGAGATTAAATGTCGCATCGAAAAGGCAAAAAGTGCATTCTTGGCTATGAGCTCTGTGTTCAAGAGCATGACCTCACCCTAGAAACAAAAATAAGGCTCCTTAATGTTATGTGTACTCAGTGCTTCTATAAGGAGTAGAAACGTGGACATTGAAGGCGGAAACTCTATCAAAACTTCAGCCTCTTGAGCTATGGTTATATAGAAGAATCCTGAAGATACCATCGAGAGACTAATGCCCGATTTCACCAACGATACCTAAACAGTTGCCTTCAAAAGTAATTCTTATCGAAAAGAACTTCCTAAGTCAATACTTAGGAACACTAGCGTTTCACAACTAAAAGAACTGCTTATCTAGGAAATTCTTTCTTAGGTATTACTTTGGGTACGTTTGAACTATTATTGATAAATAAAAAAAGAATAAGAAGTTATAACCTTACTTTTTTATTTGTTATTGAATTGTTTGTTTTCCAAGTTGGTTTTATTTAGTTTTGTCGTGTTATAGTTATTTTAATTAGTTATTGTAATAAGGTTGTTAGTTTTGTAAATTATTTCTATACGTCTAGTGAAATGGAGGAAAAGAAAAGGGCTGTAAATTTCATATTAAATAGGCAGAGAGCATATTAAATAAAATTAAAAATGAGTTGATTACAATGTTATATTATACAGTATAATACATTTTTTATCTAATTTTAATTTCAGATAATGAAGAAGTGCCACCAGCTCTATTGTCATTATTGAAATAATTTTAAAATAAAACATATCCTGAAAATTGTTTTTTATTTTATATTTTTAATAATACACTTTTAATGAAATCATGAATGGGTTTTTGAAAGAAAATACCAGTTTGTTAGGTAGAGAATATCATTTTCTATTTGTTCCAACACATATAAAACTGTTGGTTTAGACATTCGAAACCTTTTAAAAAAATCCACATCGTCCAAAGTTTCAAAATAATTTGGTCGATTCTTGATAACTCGAGGTCTTCTTTCTGTTTCTTCTTCAGAATCAGATCAGGAATCGAATCGATCTAGATTTTCGATAAACTGTAGTGCTTCCATATTATAAATAGTACCAAAGCAACAATTAATTAATATAAAATAATACAAAAATAACTAACTATAGAGTAACAACACACAAATTACGGTAAGAAGCAAATTATTGACAAATTTCACAAGTACATCCGTCAAAACTGTTAAAACATAACCTCACTTTTAACTATAAGTAATACCTAAACTGTTTAGGGAGATCGCAAAACGTATCCTACCATTAGGTAATGCTTAAGCGGTTTAGGCAATTCTTAGCGTATGGTGAAATCCGTTTTAGAGTTAGGAAGTACCTAAGCCCGCTTAGGTAATTCTTAAATATTTAGGTATCGTCGGTGAAATCGGGCATAAGTCATCAATGAAGAAGTACTATGGAGGATGAACACAACCGCAGATTTGGTCAACATCGTAAAGGGCCGTTATCTGTAGTACCTGGGACATATAATGAGAAATCAAGGCAGATATGAGCTATTCCAATGCATTTTACAATGTTAACTTGAAGGAAAAGCCTAGGACGAAGAAGAATATCCTGCGTTGCTAACCTGAGAGCATGGTATAGAAAGACCTCAACACAGCTGTTTCGTATAGCAACCAACAAAGTCATCATAGCCAGAATGATCGCCAACGTTCGGAACGAACAGACACCCTAAGAAGAATGTTAATACAATTTACCATTTTTACTGGGAATAAATATAAATAAAAATAGTAAGTTGTATAAGTTTCTTAAGGCTGTTTTAGCAGTTCAAGCACACTGCGATTTAAAATGGGCGTATCACTTACTGTTCTACACTGCTTACGTGAGACTATCTTTACTCAGTGGCGCAGCCGACGGCTAGTTTAATGATAACAAATGCATTACTCTCCATTCAAATTAGTTTTAACACGAACTAACTGATCTTACGTTCATGAGACTTGACGTCACGAAGGCGATAACGATGAAACTAAGTGCCAATGATGAGTAACACGTTTCACTATTAGATTTCAGTATTTTTTAGCAATTTTCTTCAAAGTTGGAACACGCTTTTCTCGATTATTACTGGACACAGAAAGGTGAAAAAAAAAATCAACGATTACAGAAAAAAACTCTTTCAAGTGATGGGCGTAAAAAGTTTGGTTATAATAGAACGTTAAACAGTATAATCCAATTTTTCAACAGAAGTTTTAAAAAAATAAAAAAAGTAAAACCATCATTTTAAAAGCAATATAATTTCCAATATAGTGTCCAAATTTCAACTAGGTTTAACTTTTGTCCCTAGGTTTTGGTGCACCGATAAAACAGCCGTGATAAAAAATAAAGTCTTCTTCTAAAGTCGTCTAAATTTTTATATTCATAGCAGGTTTTTTTTTTAACAGATAAGGAACCTGATAAGCAACACTTGATAAATCAAGGACCGACATTTTAATGTAGAAGCTTTAAATATAATTGACTTTATAAGGAGTTGTCTACAAAGCTTTAAAATGTGTAGCTCCAATTCGGTTAGGATTTTAATGTTTCTGTTTTTAATTCGTATGTACTTTTTAGGAGGCGTGCATGATTTGGACGCTAAATTTAAAATTCGACACTGAAAAATAAAATTATCTGTTTCTTGCATACATGATTTGGACGCTGGGTGTAATTGAAATGTAAATGGAAAGTCAGGTAATAAAATTCTAGAGATTAAGCTTGATAAGGTTATATTTGTCACTTTGAAATAAATACGACATACATTTTACGAAATGGAATCGATCGATACAGTTAGTTTTGATACTCATGTATCCTATTTCTAACGAACATAATTTTTTTTCTACTCTTTGGATCTTTAAGTCTATTACTTTCACTATTACAGACACTATTAATTTTAATGTAAGTTTCAGTTTAAAAATTTTTTAAAACATCAATAAATGGAAATATTGGATAGCATGGAAAAATTATCATTAAAACGCGATGGAACGATTCACAAGCTTAGTGTTAATTGTAAACTCTCACTCATCGCAGCCCACATCTCCGACGGAAATGTTGCGTGGTCGCCAATGTAGTTGTCCAATAAGTAGTCGGAAAACTTTTCAATTTTTGAATCCTTTGGTTGAATAGCCATAAAATCATATATGAAAGATTCTTCGACTTCTGAGGAGGTAAAAATGGCAGCCCAAAAATATATTTCAGCCATTTAGATATTTCACTGCCTGCCAATTTATATTCCCAAATTAAGCCACAACCACCGATATTACGATACCAAGCTTGCATAAGATGAAAACGGCACCCTTTAATGTGCACATTTGGAAATTCAAAACGCGCAGCATTGTGGATAGCAATTTCAAAATCGGAGAAAATGATTTTTGGATTGAATTTTAGACCAATTACTTCACATTTGCGTTTCAAAACATTAAATAGTTTTATATAGGTTTGTTCCGATTTGTCGAGAAGTAAACAATAACACAATGGTATATAATGTCCATTGATAAATACATGTATGGTAAAAAATTGCTTGAAATATTGAGCACAGTAACTAAATGTACCGTCCATATAAATCGTTTCACTGCCGCACAGAAAACGCATGTTAGTGTTACACGAGAAGATGATAATGTTAGAACTTAGTTCAACCGCAAATATAAAATTCTCGTCTTTAAGTGTTTTGATATTCATAATATTTACCGCAGCAATAGTTTCTTCTTTACTTTTGGGCAGTTTCGGTTGAGCCATTCGCCGTTCACTGTATATTTGATTTCGTATTAAATTAACGTCTTTAACAGACATGTGGCTCAAGCAATCTACATTTTCTTTCAACGCACTATGTATGATTTTGGACGGCCTTTCGTTCAAATTATCCTTAGCCTTCCTTTTGGCACTGCTACGCACAATCTGTCTATTAAGCGTCTTGATATCACACTCGTGATTATGTTCTATATTACTTCGGATCACTAACTTTTCTGGCCCTTTCGTGAATATCTTCGCTCTACACGACCGTTTTACGTACCTCCAATACGTTTCTCCCGATTTTAGTACTTTATCTTGAGAAAAAGTAAAACTGTTCACTTTGAGCAAAATTTTACCACGATTACTTACTAACGTTGAAATTTCCATGTTCACTTTTCACTATTCTCTGACAAACTAATAACTGGTAACTAAGTAAATAATCCTTAAGTAGGTAATCCTTCCGGCAGCGTCCAAAACAAGGGTACTTTTAAGACCCTCAGGTACTGCAGCGTCGAAAACATGCCCGCCCCTTTTTAGGAATACTCTTTACAAACATTACGAATATGCCTTTTTTTAAACTTAACATTAAATTAGCCATGTATATTGTGTAAACAATATTTTACATCTTCTTCAGTGGCTCATAAAAAAATGACTGGATTCGAAACGATTTTGCGAAACGGTACTCTTTGCGGATAGTACACGGCATCTCAATAACAAAACTTTTTATTATTGTTAAACTTTGCAACATAATCAAAAAAATTATTGTGAGAATTAACAGCTGAAAAATAATCGAATATATGAGATGTCTCACGAAATCAGAAAAATAAAAAAATAAATGTATTTTCTGAGTTTTTTAAACTCAAACATTAAATCAAATTCAATTCAATTTAATTTAAATTACGTTCGTCAATATGTAAATATTTGTTTAAGCTTGATACAATTGTTTAATTTAATTTAATTTAATTTATTTGTATTTGGGTAAAACTGGGAAAAGAAGTGTTATATAGGGAAACAGTAGTTAAAAACAAAACACACTCATTGAAATAAACTAATAACAATAACATTACAAGTTACCCTTAACAAGTAACTCAGTTGAATGCGTCGAAATCCCCGCCTTGTTCGAGACGACGCACGTGTAGTTGCCAGCATGGGATCCTTCCACATTGTCTATACTCAATACTGAGGTTTTAGTACCAAAGGGACTAATATTAAGTGCTTTATCTTCGGGAATCTTTTTCCCGTTGAACATCCAAGAAAACGACAACGGCATATCACCCTTATTGACATAGCAAGACACCTGAACACTGTCCCCTGCGTTGGCTTCGTCTTCGAAGGTGAATGGGGTTATGTGGGGCAAAACTAGGATAAAAAGTGTCATAAATTGTATGTTGAAAATAAAAAAAAGCAGTGGTGTAGCAAAATAGTGAAATAATTTTTAATTTCTACAGATTATTTGATTGTTTTTTTTTGTCGCATACAATTTGTATTAGGCCAGGCAAATATAGTATAAGATCCAATATAACAAAGATTTTCACCGATCTGTTTACTGAATAAAAATTATTTGATGTGTAATTTAGTATGTTAAAAATTATAAAAAACAGGAGATGCCCGATATAATTTTCATTCAGACTATATTTAATTAATAATTAAAAAATGACTTTAGTGAGTACTCAGTCATAGTATGAGGACAAAAATAGTATTAACTTGAAAAGAAAATATTGGGAAGATGAACCTTTACCTGCTTTGCGAAAAAGCAACATTCAAAAGGACACAAAAAACTTGGATAGTATTGTAAAGGGAATTAAAGAAACGATGAATCCATTTGATGATACAATTGATCACCAACAGTTGTTTAATATTTCGACTGGCAAAGCTACCTCTAAAGCAGTTGCCGATTTCCTGCTGAACGTCAAAGAAACTGGCAGTCAACAAAAATTAGAGTTTATTTTAAATTGCTCTTCAACTCTTGGAAGATTAGAGAAACCTATAAAACGTAACAAAATCATCAATTTTGCTTCTCAAAACATCACAAAAGATCTCATGACTAAAGATAAAAATAAGAAGATGTTAATGAAAATGAAACGAGACATCTTTATACAACTTCTGGAAGTTGGTATACAAAAGAAAATTACTTTAGGTAATTACTTGACTTTTCCACTATTTTTGACTCTCTCACTTGACTTTTCCACTTTTTACAACGTTAACTGATGAAGCCGACATATTAATTATAGCCGACATAAGTACAATAGAGTAAATGCTTTTGAATTTGACAGCTATAGAAAAAGAGGAAAAAATATAAATAAAAGAAGGGAAAATGTAAATAGAGGTTTCTTCTTCTTCTTCAGATGCAAATCCACTAATGGATGTTAGCGATCACATTTTCCATTAACTCTCTATTTCTTGCAATATGTATCAGAGATTGTATGTCGTTAATCCCTGTCCATTGCCTTATGTTTCGGAGCCAGGACATTTTCTTGCGTCCCATTCCTCTCTTGCCTTCAATTTTACCCTCGATTATAAGTTGGAGGAACTGGTATTTTTCATTTCGCATGATGTGACCTAGATACGCCGTTTTCCTTTTCTTGATGGTTTCGAAAAGTTGGCGTTCTTGGTTTATTCTTTTAAGGACATCTATATTTGTGATTTTCGCTGTCCATGGTATTTTTAGGATACGGCGATAAAGCCACATTTCGAAAGCTTCCAATCTGTTTATATCCCTCGTTTTGAGTGTCCAGCCCTCTACGCCATATAGCAGCACTGACCATACGTAGCACTTAGTAAACCTTAGTCTCAGTTGAAGATCGAACTCAGAACAAGTCAGTACCTTCTTGAATTTTACGAAAGCTTGTCGAGCTTGCTCAATGCGACATTTTACTTCCCTGTCCGATGCCCAGTCTTCAAAAAGCCACGATCCCAGGTATTTAAATTTACTCACTCTTTCTATGGATTTACTATTCAGTGTTATGGTGGAGTTTTCAAATGCATCCAAGTTTCTGGAGATGATCATGAATTTGGTCTTTTTGGTATTAATCTCTAGTCCCATTCGCTCACTGTATTCTCCGATTATAGTGACAAGTTGTTGAAGATCGACTATGTTGTCACAAATTAAGACACCATCATCAGCATATCTTATGTTGTTGATCAATACTCCATTCACCTTGATTCCCATCTCTGCATCCTCCAAAGACTCTTGAAATATGGCTTCTGAATAAATGTTAAATAAAAGAGGGGAAAGCACACATCCCTGTCGAACGCCTCTTCTTATATGATAGAGATAGATATGTGGCAAATAGAGGTTTGCCACAGTGAAAAGCAAAATATACCTATACCGCCTGCACTTTTTTCATGTACTGGCGAAATGTTGAAAACTCTTAAAGCAGTATTTGCGAAAACTTTGAAATCGAATACCGAACTGGTTGAGCCCACATTTATTAACGTAGAAATAATATATGACTTTACACTCTTAATAAAAAATTCTGAACGTCAAGCTCAAAACGAATTCGATATTCGATATAAAATTTCAGGACCTCAACAAGTTAGACCTAAAGATTTAAAAACTATCATTTTAAAGAGGCACTGACTGGTACGCTTTTTGGCTGATTATTGAGTTAGTAAAAATTTGCTAACTCAATAGCTTAAGCTCAATAGCAATAAAAATAATCATTAGCTGGTGTCGGTTTTCTTATTTCTAATCAGCATGTCCATAAGATTAGACAATATATTGGAATTTCAGAAAGGATCGCGGCTCTAATAATGGACATAAATAAAAATATAAGTTTAAAGATCATACAAATTTACGCCCCTACATCATCACATACGGATGAAGAAGTGGAGATATTCTACGAATCATTGACACAAACAGTGAACAAATACAAAAGCACCTACACAATCATTATAGGCGACTTCAATGCCAAATTAGGGAGAAAACTAGAAGAATCAGAAAATAAAATCGGCAACTTTGGATATGGAACACGAAACGAAAGAGGAGAAACATTGATGAACTATATGGAAACGAACGGTCTATATGCGATGAATACCTTTTTCAATAAAAAACCACAGAGAAAATGGACGTGGGTCGCGCCCAATGGTTTAACAAAAAATGAGATTGATTACATCCTATCCAAAGAAAAGAACATAGTACAAGACGTTACGGTCATAAACATGATTTCCGTAGGAAGTGATCACAGAATTGTTAGAGCCAAAATCAAAATTAACTCCACAACAGACAGACAAAAATTTAAACCATCTAAAAAAGAGATAGATACAGAACTTCTTAAAGAACGCAAAGAACAATACATAAACCAGCTAAAAAGAAGTGACATATCACAGCTAAAGGGTTTGCAACTAGACGAATTAAACGATAAAATAACAACAGAACTACTAGAAGCAGGCCTGAAGATTGCTAATAAACAAAAGCGAAAACAACAAAAAATAGCGCTAAATCACAAGATATGCTAAAAAAACGACGACAACTACTGAATGATAACAAAAGAAATACAGTGGAGTTTACCGAACTGAACAAAACCATAAGAAAACAGATAAAGGAAGATTTAAAGAAATACCAAGAAGACCGCATTAAGAAAATCATAGAGAAGAACAAAAGTTTAAAAACAATGAAGACAAATACAGGAAAAAGAAAACTAATCATGCTTAAAGATGAGAACAATGAAGAAAGAGATCTAGGAGAAATAGTAAAAATCACAGAAAGATATTACACAGACCTATACAGTTCTAAAAATGACCCACCACTATCATCTAAACAGAATCTCTCGAGGAAAATACAAAATGTTGGCTCAGAGGTATTACCAGAAATAACTGAAGATGAAATCGAAAAATCCATAAACGACATGAAAAGAAATAAAGCGGCCGGTGAGGACAAAATACTGGCGGAACTGCTAAAAGAAGGAGGAGACACGATAAAAAAAATGCTAAAAATACTGTTCAACAAATGTCTGTTTGAAGGTAAAATACCTAAACAATGGAGAAATGCCAACACAATCTTAATACATAAGAAAGGAGACCGAACAGACCTAAACAACTACCGTCCTATTTCCCTTTTGTCACAACTATATAAAACCTTCACAAGAATAATAAACAACCGACTAACCTATAAACTTGATAACTACCAACCAGTGGAACAGGCCGGATTCAGGAAAGGATACAGCACAATCGACCATCTACATGCGCTTAAAATCTTAATTGAGAAAACCAATGAATACAACCTTCCGCTGTACTTAGCATTCGTAGATTATGAAAAGGCTTTCGACAGCATTGAACACTGGGCGGTTGAAGAAGCTCTGGTCAATAGTAGAATAGATTCAAGATACCGACAATTGATACATGATATTTACCAAAACGCAACCATGACCGTAATTCTGGACGACAAATTAATAACGGATAATATAAAAGTTAAACGAGGAGTCCGACAAGGCGATATAATTTCACCTAAACTGTTTACCTTGACCCTCGAAGACATAATAAAATCAACAGATTGGGAAAACAGAGGAATATGTATTAACGGAAAATACCTAAATCACCTTAGATATGCGGATGATATACTCCTGATCTCCTCGGAACGACAAGAACTGGAATTAATGCTGAATGAACTTCATGAAAAATCACTGCAAAAAGGCCTAAAAATTAACTTCAACAAAACAAAAGTAATGACAAACACGGAAGACCAAGAGGCAATAAAAATAAAAACAGAAAAAATAGAACAGGTAAATGAGTATATCTATCTAGGACAAGCAATCAGAGCTAACAGAGAAAATCAAACAGCCGAAATATCGAGACGAGTAAGAATGGGATGGGCAGCGTTCGGCAAACTTTCTTACGTTCTAAAAAATCAAACAATCCCTCTATACTTACGAAGCAAGGTATATAACTCCTGTATAATACCGGTGCTCACCTACGGAGCACAGACATGGACATTTACACAGGCCAATTTGGATAGGATAAGGAAGGCACAAAGAGCGATGGAGAGACAAATGTTGGGTGTATCACTTAGAGATAGAAAACGTAACCAGTGGATCAGAACCAGAACAAAGACAGTAGACGCGATAGAACAAGCAGCAAAACTGAAATGGAAATGGGCTGGACACAATGAACGTCTCCAAGACGGACGATGGAACAATGCCATCGGAAAGTGGCGTCCATACAATGCAAAGAGATCAAGAGGCAGACCACAGATGAGGTGGAAAGATGACATCAGGAAACAAGGAGGTCCCACATGGCAGAGAACAGCTCAAGATAGGGAAAGATGGAGAGAACTGGGGAGACCTATATCCAACAATGGAAGGATAGAAAATAGGTTCAAAAAAAATTTGCTTACAATTATCCAAAACAAAAAAATATTTGTAACCGTTGATCATCAGTGCT